CGGACTACAAGCGTATTTATGTTTTTAAACGCCCAAACTCATTACTGGGTTCCGAGAGGAATAGCTTATTCATACACAACCGTTACGACAGACAAGCCTTGCTTTGACCCCCCCTGTACGAAATGATATAATCCGATAAATGACGTAATTAGCTTCCATTTTGGTTATTTCTCAGTGTCAAAGTTTGTGATGAGTTCAATTTTACAAGAGAGAACTTTTTTATTCGCTAGGACATATAGTTGTACAATGGATTTTATATAACCGGAGGTAATTTCAAACACACAGGTAAGTTTATAATAACCAAAGTATAGTAGTTTGTTCATAATCGAAGAAATCCGTTTATTATTTACCACGGTTTACACAGTAATATTATTATGCGTTGCGACCCATTTTTGTCAATTTCTAGGTCCCAAATATTAGCCCCTTTAAATGATTTATTATGTTGCTTTATATTTCATTAAACATTAAATTATGCATCTATAATAAAGTTAAATGCCTGTAATAATATATTTTAAATAAATAAAATATTCTGTGACTGCGCGATAAGATGGCCGCCATTTTTCAGCATTGGGTGAGTTTTAAATATGACTTGGACGATCTCCAACCCGAGTAAATCATATCTGGAGAGAGAGAAATGGGGTTTAACGTCCACTCGACACAAACTAGGTCATTTCGGGACTAACATATGGTTTAATTTTATTTACATAATTCGCTTGCGCGTAGGGGAAAATCATATCTGGGCGTATTCAAAAGTTTTCTTAATGTTAAGAGTGTCTTACCTTAAATCCGTATTCAAAGGCTGTATTTTTCATATCCTTGGATAAGTCTTTGATTTTTTCACAGAACGCAAATACTGCCTTTAATAAGAAAGATTTCAAAATTTTAGCACAAAAGGCCCATGGACCTGAGATGCACCGCTGTCCATAAAGCAGTATGTATACTTTAAAGGGCCATCATTTTGGCAGTTATTCTTTGATTTTCTTTCTCCGGCATGTTGCCAGTACAGATGGGAAGTAAAATAGAAAAGGCCTTTTGGTCATACCTACTACTACTACCTTGGTGTTTTAACGTCTGCTTCCACTGAAGTGATATTGAAGACATTTCTCCCCAATATAGGTAGGACACAGCTCACCAAATATTCCTATGCCATGAAAGTTATTTTTAGTCTTTATCTCCATTTCCCTTTGACCCCCTTTTGCATGACGATTTCTGATGACTTTTTGGTGTAGCATCCAAGAAAAGGGTTTGAAAATACATTTTCTGTCAGATTTTGGTAAATATTTTTTGATTTTGAGGCGGAAACATACATGAGTTGAGAGGATGGTTAGGTTGAAATGTAGGGCAGAAAATTGCATGTTTATTGGTCTTTACTTCCAGTTTGTGTATCTCAATATTTTCATGATGAACCTCATACCTGCTTTTGGAAAAGCGGTTGCCAAACATGAATCGTGACGACAAATTAAACATACATTATGCACGAGCTAAATCTTCCTATTTTAGGTCTTTCTTTAGGCCTGAAATGTTACCTAAATTATTAATTAGACATTAATTAACTTAAATCCAGACCATAATCAACTCTCGATGTCGTCGCTAGTCTGCGATATTTACTGTATTAGGATCCAATTTGCTGCTCAACTTTCATTCATGATTAAATCATCGCTAAATTCTTGGTTCAGAGTGGATCAATTTGACTGAAATTTTCAGCAAATCCCTTTACATTATCTGGTTTTTAATTATTATAGTGAGAACTGCCAGCTCTTTATAGAATCTTCCATAATGTATCTTTAAAAAACATAGATATGGTTCATGAAGAGTGTTGGATATTGAACTGGCATTTCTTAAAGATGGGTTCCTGCGTACAAACTGGGTGATTTAATGGTATATATGGACCAAAAACATATTCAAACTAATTAATTTGTCATAATTATGCTTCAAATCCTTCTCAAACATTGTAATTGCGAAGGAATGCCCTGCTATTAAAATTCGATCAAACCAGGTCATGTTTACATCACGTCTTGGGAATCAGAGGAGAATTCATTGCACACTTAATCGCTTACTATTTATTACAAATATCGAATCCTAATTAAATTCTCGGATTATCCACTACCCGCGTCTTTTTCCGTCATTTTTATCTCAGAAAGTATTGTACGTCTAACTCTTCATAAAGTTTATCAAGCGCTCAATGTTCGCTTGTGACCTTTGACATCACACCTGCTGAAGTTCCTAATCGTCGGGCTGTTGATTAGGGGAACCCTTACATTTTTGTCCTGTATACGCTCCATGAGTGTTTTTCGGGGAATCCAGTATTTTTCTAGTAAGATTGGATATCTCTACTTTCCATATATACCAAAATTGCCATACTTTTATTGGAAATAACCACCCGATAATTACTTTTCTGGGAACCCATCTTTAAATTAATTTCATGGACGTTGACATATTGTTTTAGACCTTGTTCGTGTCTCGTGTTATGTGGCCCATGGTTTGAAACGAGGTGTTTCTGAGGGATGTACATGTTCGCTCTTGAAACAGGTCTTAAGGACAGGGAAATTGTAGATAATCCAGTGACACTGAATCGTAGTTACAGGATCAGCAACATGACTACACAACAAGCATAGGATGTCATCTGCCAAAACTGATTTTCACGGTATTTTACAAATAAACAATGGATGGAATATTAGAATTGTATATATATATATATATATATAAAGAGAGATGTTTTGATTCACGGTGGCTAAGTGGGTAAGACACTGGCTTGCTAGCCTGGACATCAGGTGTTCGATCCCTGCATTGGCCAACAAAGTTCAACAGGATTTTTTATCGTGGTTTCCCCTTGTCAGTGGTGCAGATGGAGGGTCTGACAAGGACAGCTGTCTAGTCTTTTGGATGGTATGAAAAGCTGAGCTCCCATGTACACATTGGCATGCACGTTAAAGATCCCTTGGCATTTGGAATTTGATATAAGAGTTTAGCCATAGTGCCACTGCCCAGGCTAAATTTCCCTGGGAGCAGAACAGTAGGACGTTAAATCCCATTTCATTTCATTTTATAGAGATGTTAAGTGGTGGACACATTTGCTGAAATTTATTCTGCTGAATGGGTGGACACACAATGCGAATGCTTCGCCCGATTCACCAGTCGATTGCATCGTCCGATTCACCAGTCGATTGCATCCCCCTTTCATGTCACATGATTAAACATGGCACTGACAATGTCTTCAAACAATCATGTGATTGGCTAATGAATTCTACATTCGGACGAAGGCTTCGGCGAAGGGGACTCACTAGGCGGATATAATTTAGCCGAATATATCAAACATGTTTGATTTGGGCGAATCATTCGGGCGAATGAAAGTGGACACACTAGGCGAATTTCAACACCAAACAATTCGACCGAGTCATTCGGCTAGTGTGTCAACCTCTTTAAAGATACATTATGGGAGATTCTATAACGAGTTGGCAGTTCTCACTATAATAGTTAAAAACTAGATAATGTAAAGGCGATTTGCTGAAAATTTCATTCAAATTGATTCACTATGAACCGAGAACTAAGCGGTTGAAATTTCCTGCTAGCCTTGATCATCATTACTAAAGTCAGAACGATAAACAGCATAATCGTGATTATCCATTTAATCATTAAATCGTGAAGGAAAGTTATGCAGTAAATCGGCTCAAAATCCACTAAAGATCGCAGGCTAGCCATGTCATCTCGAGTTGATTATGGTCTGGATGGGTTAATTAATGTCTAATTCATAGTTTAGATAACATTTCAGGACTAAATAAAGACCTGCAATGGGCAGATTTAGCTCTTGCATAATGCATGTTTTAAGTATGGCATTATTCGATGGGGATGTCTGTTCACTGTCGACTATCTTCAAATGACCGCTGATTATCACCTTTTTTTCCATGGTTAACTTGAAATTTCCTTCTGCCAAATAGGTTATTTTGGTCCAAAATATTTTAGGAATCAGACCGCGCTTATTCCCATTTTTTTTTTTTAAATATTTGGAAGTTTTCGTGCAGAGGTATTGAAAATCAGGAGACTATTCCATATTGAAAACCCTGAAATAGAAGATGACATAGGCCAAAACAGCACTATGATCTTTCTTCTGGGTCAAAAAACTAAGAACACAGTAAGGCAGGTCAGAGAGAATTTACACTCGAACACAGGAATCTAAGTAAGTGCACACATACACATACATATATGTAGGAGTTGAGCATATGCAGTCAGCAATATCCTTGATTTTTCAGAGTGACATTATAACTACAAAATACGCTATTACCTATGGTATATTATACACATCAACAAATACTTTAAAACTACAAAATATGCTATTATATATAATATACTCTTAAAATAAAGTAAGGGATATCCAGAAACAATACAAAACTGAGGAAATGCACTGCTGTTTTTATTAGAGGTAACCAGTGTGTGTTAATAACAGGCCAATTGCCTACACACGAACATAAACAGTTCATGTGGGAGGCTTATCAAGTGTCAAATTTGACAATGAACCCCTCCCACGTTTATGGAACTATTGCGTGTCGCATGTGCAGCTCAGTGGTTCTGTTTTGGCGATAAGTTCTTCATCTGTGAACATACTCTCAAAGCATGTCAAGTGTCCATGACTATTTATTATATCACAACCTGCATAGGTATTTGCATTTCAATATCCCCTACCTCTTTTTAAGAGTATATATTACACTGACAAATATGCTATTATCTACATGTATAATATATATGGTATATTACACCAACAAATACTTTAAAACTATAAAATATGCTATTATATATGGTATATTAACCTCAACAAATACTTTAAAACTATAAAATATACTATTACCTATGGTATATTACATCAACAGATACTTTAAAACTATAAAATATGCTATTATATATGGTATATTACATCAACAGATACTTTAAAACTATAAAATATACTATTACCTATGGTATATTACATCAACGGATACTTTAAAACTATAAAATATACTATTACCTATGGTATATTACACCAACAAGTACTTTAAAACTATAAAATATACTATTATATATGGTATATTACATCAACAAATACTTTAAAACTATAAAATATGTCTACTGTGGACTCTGTCACATCCGTTCTCGGAATACTCCGGCACTCTGTGAAATCTGACATCATTGTCGGATTTGACAAGAGTCCACTGTATGTCTATTGCAAAGATATGTGTACATATGTCTATATTAATTACAAAGATATATACATCCATATAATGTTTTAGAAAAATATATAAACATGTCTATATTACAAAAATAATGATTTTCTTCAGCATCTTATTCTCTAGTATGAATTCTTTTATGATTACATAGACTACTAAGTTGTGTAAATGATTTTTTACAAACATCACAAAGCATTCTCAGACTTAACCCTTCCAATGCTAGACGTAAATCCACTGCCTGTGCTAGACCCTTTTTTGAGGAAAAAAGGGGGATTGGAACTGAATGCCAAACAGTACTTATGGAAGCTTTTATGAAAAATCTTTTTGTCTGTTGGGATGGGCATGAGGTTGGGCTAAGAGGAAAAAATAGAATTTTGGAAATTTGCATAATAATGTAGTCACATGATGTCATGACGGCCATTTTGGATTTCTCATTTCTCACTAAAGCTAACACGAAAACGAATTTTTCTCCATGAAATACTTATGAAATATTGATTTTTTCACTGGATTTTGATAAACATATATAAAAGGAACAAAAATATTAATAGCAGCCATGAACAATGCCACCACGAACACGCGCATCACGTCTCCCACTGCCATGACCCCGTGCGGATTGCAATACCTTGTTTTCACTTTCACTTTCATCCCGAAGTCCCATATCATTATCAATATAGTTAGTCAATAGATCTACACGTTCGGGGCTCAGGAATTGCCCACGTCTTCTACGATCCAGCAGGCCAGCATTATTATGAACATCAGAATCTACTGCAGACACAGGGCTATCGTGTTCACATTGGGCTTGTTCATCATGCACGGGAGGCATAGCCATAGGCGGAACGTCGCGCAACAAATCACACACGTACTTCATAATACCAATCACTGTCCTGACTACTATCATTATCAAGTAACTGGAAACGAATTATGTGTATCACCCGCCTCAAAATTGTTCACGTGTTGGTCAGCAAGACGTCATTCACGACTTCGTCGAGAGTGCATCATCTACGTTGTCACTATGCACTCCGCCATTTTACGGTTTGCCACTTTGAAACACGTGGAAATGTGTTTTAGTTTATAGAAAATACAATAGATGGCACTTGCAGTTACGGTACTAATTTTAGCGAGGGCTTTACTAAGTACACGGTAATACCGGGTACGCACATTTTAACGACATTTTATATTACCCGGTAATACCGGGTAGACGCAATGAAAGGGTTAAGTTAAGAATTTACTCAAAATTGATCACCTTTTTTTTTTATAAAACTTTTGAATTTTTATGTATCAAATATGTGCAAAGTTTTGTGTTTTTGGATCAAAGATATTTCTCATAAACAGAATGCTGCAGTATGAGTTCTGGTGTGTCGCTGTAGATGACTACTAGTGGTAAAAGATTTACTACAAACATCACAAGAAAGGGGTTTTTCCTGCAGTATGAGTTCTGGTGTGTCGCTTTAGATGACTACTAGTGTTAAAAGATTTACTACAAGTGTCACAAGAAAAGGGTTTTTCGCCAGTATGAATTTTCAGGTGTTGATGTAGTGAACTTCTTTCTGTAAATGATTTACTACAATCGTCACAAGAAAAAGGCCTCTCCCCTGTGTGAGTTTTGGTGTGTCGTTTTAAATTACCACTAGAGGTAAATGATTTACTACAAACATCACAAGAAAAGGGTTTTTCACCAGTATGAATTCTGGTGTGTTCCTGTAGATTACTACTACAGGCAAAAGATTTCCGACAAATGTTACAAGAAAATGGTTTTTCACCGGTATGAATTCTGGTGTGTTGATGTAGACTACTACTAGTGGTAAATGATTTTTTACAAACATCACAAGAAAAAGGTTTTTCGCCAGTATGGGTCCTGGTGTGTTCCTGTAGATGAGTACTACGATAATATGATTTATTACAAACATCACAAGAAAAGGGTTTTTCACCAGTATGAATTCTGGTGTGTGAATATAGTTGACTATTATTGTTAAATGATTTATCACAAACATCACAAGAAAAGGGTTTTTCGCCAGTATGAATTCTTGTGTGTAGTTGTAGACTAGTACTAGTGGTAAAAGATTTTCTACAAACATCACAAGAAAAGGGTTTTTCACCTGTGTGAGTTCTGGCGTGTCGTTTTAAATTACTGAGAAGGCTAAATGATTTCCTACAAACACCACATCTATATGGCTTTTCGCCAGTATGTATTCTGGTGTGTGAATATAGTTGACTACTAGTCCCGAATGATTTACTACAAACATCACAACTAAAGGATTTTTCTCCCGTGTGAATTCTGGTATGTGTCCTTAGATAACTACTATTGGTAAATGATTTACTACAAACATCACAAGAAAAGGGTTTTTCACCAGAATGGGTTCTGATGTGTCGTCGTAGATTACTACTATTGTTAAATGATTTACTACAAACATCACATGTATATGGCTTCTCGCCAGTATGAATCATAATATGCAAATTTAAACCACATATGTTTCTAAATGATTTACCACAAACATCACATTTATAGTTTCTATTGGAGACAGAATGCTTTGACATTTTCAGCTTTTCTCCTGAATCTTCTCTCTGAAAGAAAACACAATAATAATTAAATTTACTGCTTAATTATTTTTCTCAAAATTAACCATAAACCATTCTAGGTTTTGACTTGAAATGCTGTATTTTTATTACTGGTGAGAAAATGACAGAGAGAGAGAAATGGGGTTTAACGTCCACTCGACACAAACCAGGTCATTTCGGGACTAACACATGGCTTAATTTTATTTCAATAATTCGCTTGCGCGTAGGGGTCTTTAGCAGTGGGAGGAAACCGGAGGACCCGGAGAAAACCCACGAGGTTGGACAGGCGACCCTACTCCTTGTCACTACTACAGATGGAGCCGTATGTAGCAACGTTTTGCTCGTAAAGCATAGATCAACTATGGAGTTAACGAGGTATATCTTTAGATACAAAAACTGACTGTTTACTGGTCACCAATAGGTTGAAAGTAAGATCGGTTGCCATGCAACAAAATATTCGCCCACGGTAGCTTAATCATCTGAGCAGTAATTCAATAGGATTCTTTGTTGTGCTAATTTAAATAATGAATATAAATTTAGTACAGATCTATGGAAGCCTATAACTAAGATTCCTAATTTCTACTTTTCCCCTCTTCAGAACACGAAAGTCGAAAAGTCGAAGTTACGACAAAATGTGAGGCGACAAGACGGTATACAAGCCAAAATTAACTCGAAAATAGGAAATTAAGAAATAACACACCGCGATAATAGGTCGCTAATAGCGCAGTGTGTTAATTTCCTAATTTCTCCTTTACGAGTTGCATTTTGGCTTGTATAGCGTGTTGGCGCCTTCTTACTGACATCAATAAATACAAAAATATGACTAAGTCGAAAGTCTACAAGACGGTATACAAGCCAAAATGCAAGTCGAAAAGTAGAAATTAAGAAAAAACGGGGGGCGCTATTATCGCGGTGTGTCATTTCTTAATTTCCGATTTTTTAGTTAATTTTGGCTTGTATACCGTCTTGTCGCCTCACATTTTGTCATAACTGCTACTTTTCGACTTTCCTGTTCTGAAGATGCGAAAAGTAGAAATTATGAATGATAGTTATAGGCTTCCTTACAGATCGAATCATAACTTTAGTCGTTCACAAGTTTCTACAAAGTGAAAAAAGGGCCATGACTCTAGATAATAATGGAAATTGTTGAAATTAAATAGAATTCTTCATCTCACTAATGTAAACATCATATCTCAATTTCAAAAAATGTACATGGAACATGTGTGATGGCATTGGATGTTTACTCAAATGACAAACATGAAAAACCAGTGGTTGTCATACAAGATTCACCCACATTTTGCAAAAAATGGATAGGGAACAAGCTATAAAAAAAAGAGGGATTTTTAGAACAATCTGGGGCCATAATCCAGTAAGTTATGGTCTAAAATGTGTGAATATCGAAAAGAACCGAGATCTTTGGGATATAAACATATATTTCAAGTCTCAGAAAAAAACGAAAAAAATTGACATCTAGTGTCCCACAACCTTTGTTATTACATAATTTTACACTATTCGCGTACAAGGAGCGGCCATTTTGTTGAGCAGCTTTGTTTCGATTTTCCTGAAATTTGAACTCAACATTCATTTAGGAGATAAACACCTCCTGTTTAGAATTTAGAGGACTGTTATTGTCCATTTGATACCGCTTAAATCATTAGAGGCCGAGATCGCGTAGGACCCGGAGAAAACCCACGAGGTTGGACAGGCAACCCTACTCCTTGTCACATACAACCGGGGATTTGAAACCACGCCAGTCGACTCAATGACAGACTTTATGATACAGCGCGCGCACGCTAACCATTCAGCCATCCAACCCCCCACGTTCGAAACAAATTGCATATCGTGTTTGATAAATGTCCATACACTCGTGTGACTGTGTAGATATATGCTGTGTAGCGTACGCATGTGGTTGCTATGCTTGTTTACGTTGTCATTTCGACGCTGTGAATGTGATTGTTTTTCTTCGCAAAAAAACATGGCCTGTGTATGAAAATTAGTCTCTGTCCTTTTCATATCAGTATCAGCCCGACTTGTATATTTTTAAAAATATATTACGATCCATACGGAGTTCAATAAATTGTAGTATTTTTATTCACTTGTTGAAAATCTTCGATTTTGACCAGTCTGATTATGATAGAATGACCATAGCAACCATTATTGTCAGACCAGCCTTGAAATTAAATTTACTTATTATGTTTCAAATACACTCACTGTTTTTTTGTGTGTTTCAGGTGTGTGTTTCAATAAGCCAATGGTTGAATTTCATTGTTGATGACATACAAGAAAAAATTCATGAAGATTTCCAAGAATAAAGTTTTGAGGTGTAGAATTTTTGGCCACTGCAAACAGAGTCTAGCACCCAGAAAATATTCATTCGCAGTGAGTCGCCCAGGAAATTTAGAGGACTGTTATACTCATTTGACGCCACTTTTCGACCAATCAGAATCCAAGAAATTTCCATTTTGGGCTACAATATGGTGTTATATTTAAATGGTTTTGAAAGTTGGATAAAAACTGTAACCTCTAGAGGATCCACAAGCTAAAATGAGATTTTTTGTACAATTAAGGGCCATAATCCAGAAAGTTGGTTTTCGATATGCGAGATCTTTGGGTTATGAACATATATTATCAGATAACAAGATATCGAAATTGGATAACAATTGTAATATCTAGAGGGTCCACAACCTTGATATTACACACTTTATAACACTATTTGCGAACTGGGAGTGGCCATTTTGCCCAGTAATTTCATTAGGGTGTATTGGGATCTCTAGAGGGACCACAAGAAAAAATGTGATTTTTCATACAATCAGGGGCAATAATACATTAAGTTATGGTCCAATATGCGCAAATATCAAAAGGAAGCAAGATATTAGGGTTATAAACATACATTCAAGTTTCATCAAAATCAGATAAATAAACAAGTGACCTCTCGAGTGTCCACAAGCTAAAAACATGAATTTGCATACAATTGCAAGAGCCATAATCTATAAAGTTACGGTCCGATCCATGCCAATATCGAAAGGAACCGAGATCTTTTGGAGATAAAGCTATAAAACTGTGACCTTTAGAGTGACCACAAACAAATTGTGGAAGGACAGGGGCGACAACAATATACATATAAATGTGGGCATATAAAAAGACAAAGGGGGATTTAATGCTTGAAATACAGAGTTTATTTTAAGGAAATATATGCTAATAAAGTTATATTACATGTACCTTTAACAATAATAAATCCAGCTATAAAGTCACTTGAAATTTCTTGAGTTGTTAGCTTGTAAACATCCGTTTCATTCTTTACATCACTACTAGACCACCAATACTGAATCTGAATAAATCAAACAATTAATTTGAGTTGATAATGTTCATCAGAAGGCATAAATCATCAACTATATCACTTTTAAAAATGAAATGGGGTTTAAAGTCATACTTTACTGGAACAACAAAGTTTTAAGGGTGAATGGAGAAGTCATAAAAACTCTCAAAAAATAGTCCAGTGTGGTTTCAGTTGCTGCCTGTGACAAATTTTGCTAATGTTGCTTGTTAAATTATTTATAATATAAGATTGGAAACTTTTAGTTTATATATGACTTTATTTCAAACACACAGGCAAGTTTATAATAACCAGAGTTAAGTAGTTTTTTCATTTTAAATCGAAGAAATCCGTTTAAAATTTACAACGGTTCAGACATGTAAGTTTTGAAATTCGATTTTTAATTTAGCCAGTCAATATCAGTACTTTCATTTGGGTTAGTCCATATGTATGAAATACTTAGGCGCTACTGCACAGTGCATTAGCGCCAATACCTATATGTCGCAAGGATGCTAGTGTTTATCAAATTTACATTTTAACATTAAACAATATATCGGGTGACCTGTAATAACCTTCTATACTGTTACCTAGCTAATATCCGCTTGAAATAGATTGCCGCCATTTTTGAATGTAATTAAAAAATGGCACGGATCGTCTCCAACCCGAGTAACTCATGTCTGATGAGTCGTATGACTCAAAGAAATAAAAAAAGAAGAAAGAATGTCGGTGTTCAAGTGCGTAAAAGATAAATGAATCAAAATTAAAGGCGTTTTTATCTACTTGCCAATAATCGCTTTGAATTTAGTGAAGATGTCCGTATACTCGATTTCAAACCACTTTGACTAGTTCGTTAAATGTACCGATAAACGCGATCAAAGTTCAAACTGCATGTGAATAATCAGGCAAGCTAACCTGTTTCTTGTCACGTAAAATTTAGGAAAAGGAACTAATGAATTTGAGGTACAAATCTCGTGCATATTCTAATTCTGGTTCGGCATTTTCAATTTCTTTCAACTGATTTCAACAACATAGGAAAAGGTACGAATCAATTTGAGGTACGAACTACGAAGTGAGGTACGAATGAACTAAGTACGAAACAGCCAGGTTACGAAACAGCCTGAACCCGTTATTAGGACACTACTGGCACAGAGTACTACTGCACTCGGCAAACTTCAACAGATTCCAGTACCCTACATCTAATCTCGGCTGTATGACAAAGTCCGCCATTAGAATTACTTTCAAGTTCCCGGATTACAATGGCGTTGTCCATGACGACCAATGACGTCATTGATGACGACGTATTTGAAGAATGTTTTATCTTACAAAATTTTCAAAGTTTGAAGCTGTTTTTCTTTCAAGTTTATCCGATTTTCTTTTAGACACTGAAATTTGCACTGAAAATTCTACACTCTTCGAACGACGCTAATTTGAGAACTTTTTTCTAAACGCGGACAAGTTTCCCTTATAAGTAAACCGGTGCCGCATCGCAAATGTATAGGCGTAGGTACATGTCACTTACTGTCATACAGCCGAGGCTAGATGTAGGCTACCGGAATCTGCCGAGGTTTGCCGAGTGAGTACTACTGGTGTAATTAACATTGTTATTTTGAAACCGAGGCTTCCATCATTCAAGTGCTTACTTTTACATTAATTAGTGAAATTAAAGTGGTTAATTCAAGTTTCAATTTCAAGTTCTTTACTATGAGTATGAAACTCATCATTGGTGTAATTAAAGTGCTTATCTTAAAAGTGGTAAAATTAATTTGGTGTATCCAAAGTAATTATTTTTAAATTGGTACAACTGATTTGATAAAATGAAAGTGGTTATTTTGTATTGTTATAATTGGTCAAATTAAAGCGGTTATTTTGAAATTGATATACATGTATAATTAAAGTTGTAATTTTGAAATTAGTGTAATGAAAATGGTAGTTTTTAATTTGGTATAACTACATGTATAGTGATTGTGTAAGGAAAGAGTTTATTCTTTAAGTTGGTATAATTAAAATGGTTATTTCTAAATTGCTATAATTAAAGATACATTATGGGAGATACGATAACGAGTTGGCAGTTCTCAATATAATAGTTCCAAACTAGATAATGTAAAGGCAATTTGCTGAAAATTTCATTCAAATTGATCCACTATGAACCGAGAGCTAAGCAATTGAACTTCCCGGCTAGCCTTGCTCATCATTACTAAAGACAGTACGATAAACAGCATAGTCTTGATTATCCATTTAATTGTGAAGGAAAGTTATGCAGTAAATCGACTCATAATCCACTAAAAATCGCAGGCTAGCAATGCCATCTAGAGTTAATTTTGGTCTGGATAGGTTAATTAATGTCTAATTAATAATTTAGATAACATTTCAGGCCTAAAGAAAGACCTGAAATAGACAGATTTAGCTGCCTCTTGCATAATGTATGTTTAATTTGGTGTAGTGAAAGTTTGTCTTTAAATTGGTGTAATTAAAGTGATTAGGCTATTTTTAAATATGAGTAATTGAAGTGGTTATAATTAACTTGTTTTTATACGCCCACATTTTCATGTGGACGTATTATGCCGTCGCCCCTGTCTGTCCTGTCTGTCCGTCCACAATTGTTTGTGGACTCTCTACAGGTCACAATTCTTATCCGATTTCGACGGAACTTGAAATATAGGTTTATCCCCAAAAGATCTCGGATGCTTTCGATATTGGCATGTATCGGATCGAAACTTCATGAATTATGGCCCCTGTTTGTACGAAAAATCACGTTTTTAGCTTGTGGACCCTATAGAGGTCACAATTTTTATCCGATTTTGTTGAAACTTGAAATGTAAGTTTATAACCCAAAGATCTCAGTTCCTTTCGATATTTGCGCATATCGGACAGTAACTTCCTGAATTATGGCCCCTGATTGTACGAAAAATCACGTTTTTAGTTTGTGGACCCAATAGAAGTCATAATTTTTATCCAATTTAAAAAAACTTTCTATTATATCACCGTTACACCCTAAGGATGACTGAGTTCGAATTTCGTGAAAATCGGCCCAAAATTGACAGACAAAATGGCCGCCGTTCGTTCCCAAATAGCGTAAGAATATGGTATATCAAGGTTGTGGACCCTATAGGGGTCACAATTTTTATCCGATTTTGTTGAAACTTGAAATGTAGGTTTATAACCCAAAGATCTCGGTTCCTTTCGATATCCGTGCATATCGGACCATAACTTCCTGAATTATGGCCCCTGATTGTACGAAAAATCACGTTTTTAACTTGTGGACCCTATAGAAGTCATAATTTTTATCTGATTTAAAAAACCGTTCAATTATATCACCGTTACATTCTAAGGATGACTGAATTCGAATTTCGTGAAAATCGTCCCAAAATTGACAGACAAAATGGCCGCCATTCGTTCCGAAATAGAGTAAGAATATGGTATATCAAGGTTGTGGACCCTGTAGGGGTCACAATTTTTATCCGATTTTGTTGAAACTTGAAATGTAAGTTTATAACCCAAAGATCTCGGTTCCTTTCGATATTCGATATAAGAGTAGGCCGTAGTGCCGCTGTCCGGGCAAAATTTCCCTCATAGCACACTGTATGGCGTATGCCCGTCTTCATTAGCCCAGGTTAGGAGCAGAACAGTAGGACGTTAAACTCCATTTCATTTCATTTCATTTTCGATATTCGTGCATATCGGACCGTAACTTCCTGAATTATGACCCCTGTTTGTACGAAAAATCACGTTTTTAGCTTGTGGACCCTATAGAAGTCATAATTTTTACCCGATTTAAAAAAACGTATTATTATATCACCGTTACACCCTAGGGACGACTGAATTCGAATTTCGTGAAAATCGTCCCAAAATTGACAGACAAAATGGCCGCCGTTCGTTCTCAAATAGCGTAAGAAAATGGTATATCAAGGTTGTGGACCCTATAGAGGTCACAATTTCTATCCGATTTTGTTGAAACTTTAAATATAAGTCTATAACCCAAAGATCTCGGTTCCTTTCGATATTCGCGCATATCGGACCGTAATTTCCTGAATTATGGCCCCTGATTGTACGAAAAATTGCGTTTTTAGCTTGTGGACCCTATAGTGGTCATAATTTTTATCCGATTTAAAAAAACGTATTATTATATCACCGTTACACCCTAAGGACGACTGAGTTTGAATTTCATGAAAATCGGCCCAAAATTGACAGACAAAATGGCCGCCGTTCATTCTCAAATAGCGTAAAAATATGGTGTATCAAGGTTGTGGACCCTATAGAGGTCACAATTTTTATCCGATTTTGTTGAAACTTGAAATATAAGTTTATAACCCAAAGATCTCGGTTTGTTTCAATATTTGCCCATATCGGACCGTAACTTCCTGAATTATGACCCCTGATTGTACGAAAAATCATGTTTTTAGCTTGTGGACCCATTAGAGGTCATAATTTTTATCCGATTTAAAAAACCGTATTATTATATTACCGTTCCACCCTAAGGACAGTTGAGTTTGCACTTTGTGAAAATCGCCCCAAAATTGACAGAAAAAATGGCCGCCGTTCGTTCTCAAATAGCATAAAAATATGGTATATCAAGGTTGTGGACCCTATAGAGGTCACAATTTTTATCCAATTTTGTTGAAACTTGAAATGTAAGTTTATAACACAAAGATCTCAGTCCCTTTCGATATATGCGCATATCGAATTGTAATTTCCTGAATTATGACCCTTGATTGTAGGAAAAATCACTTTCTTGTTAGCTTGTTCTCTATCCATCTCTCGAAAATGTGGGCGTATCCTGCCTGGCAGCCGCTGGTTTTTCAAGCAAATACCTAATGTACAAATGAGACATATCATGGGTGAAATATATATATATATATATATATATATACATGTATGTACAATCAACAATATCGCTAATTAATGAGCTGTATAGACAGGTGACAATGATTTGAATTGGTCACCAAGGATTAGGTTCTATGATGTAGGGAAATAGCTTTAGGGTATTCCTAGGACAATATTAGTCTGTAATTTGAGCTGTTGCCGAGACAAGTTTGAAAGAGTCTGTTTTGAAGTTATGTTTTTCTGTAAATCAGTTAACTGTTGTTCAATTTTCAAACAAATTTCACCATTTGATATTAGTATTAGTATTTAATATTACTGTGCAAATCGTTGAAAATCAATAGTGTTCTTTGGCTCATGACAAACATTGTGTCAATCGGATATTAGGCCTAACTTTATTATTTATCAGATAAAAATAGTGACCTCTCCAGTGTCCACAAGCTAAAAACATGATTTTTCGTACAATCAGGACCATAATCCATGAAGCTATGGTCTGATACATTCCAATATAGCAAGGAACTGAGATATTCGGGAGATATACGACATTATACGTCCACATGAAAATGTGGGCATATGAAAACGGAAGAAACTACATAAGGTGACTCTGAACCGAGAACCGTTACAATATACATATGTCATTGGTTACAATCAACTAAATTAGGAAAAAAAATCGCTGGGTTTTAGCAAAAGTTTTAATGAATTCGTAATTACATATTTTTAAAAGTCAAACGAGTGAAAAAGATTTTTTTCATGGCTTCACTGATCAACAAGTAAATGAATATTGTCAAGTGAATGTCTATTTTAGGCGAATGTTTGCTGCCTGCAGCAGTGCTCGAGCGAACCCGTGACTGAACTTTTCTCATCCACGCAGTTGTTTTGAGATCGGCATCAGGCTGAAAAACAAGTTAGTTGATATTAGCACAAATATTTGAGGCTGTGGACCACTGTTAGTTGTTATTGACAGAGATATTTGAAGCTGTGGACCACTGTACTGAAGATATCATCCGATGGTCACGGGAAGAATGGTACTGTTGATTTTATCATATACTAACGGATGGCCTGGAGCTGCACGTGTTGAAAGTAGTTTAACTCCAAAACCATTAGTCCAACGCCACCTAGCCTACTTTACACCCCGGTCCGAGCTACCCAAAATACCAAATTTTAGCCTCTTGACAGCCCTAGTGTACATGTATGTAGTAGCCAACCCTGAACAGACATAAAAATGACAGTCACAAATATTAATATAGATTATGTCATATTATTTTCTTTGAATTAAATGTACATGTCAACATTAAAATGTGATGGTATAACTTTAAAGGAGCTAAATCGCTAATATTTGGGACTAGAAATTGACACAAATGGGTCGCAATGCATATAATAATGTAATATGAATGTATATAAACTGATTTACATTCAATCGTTTCCGTTTTTACTCTAATTTCAAATCAGATTTGTTCGGCGAAAGTCTCAATCGAATGGCAATCTCTATCGTCTGGTTATTCCAGTCTATGCCAATAGTATTTATGGCGCATGCTCTCCAGATAAGAATATGAGGTCACCGTTTGACATGACTTGTGGTATATGTCTAACCTCGTTCTACGAGTCCCTTGTTACAAATAGCGCTGAAACGCATTATGGTACAGGATTCGTGTACCAATGGTAAAAGGTTTATTTTATCTTAAATAATGGATATCAGAAGCCCATCTTGTCACGGTAAGGTCACAACATCAATGTTGATTTAAATTGACAAATACTTTGTGTTTTCAATGTCGAAGATTTTGGATGATATTGAGTTAGAGACTTAGCTACTTTAATTTAATACTGCTAGAGTACTTCTGAAGTCTGACTGATGGTTGGATCCCAGGATTCTGAACTCTGTACCAATGGGCTTGTATTAGACCAGGAGTAATAAGGTCATCTGCTACCCATGTCGTTTTTAACATCTCAAAACACAAAACTCTGAGACTAACATATAGGAATTTGTGCAACATAAGGATGAGAATTTTGCCCAATCATTTCTATTTGCACATGCTCTTTTTTACGATAATAACTACCAAGGGTTCTTTTTTTTTTTAAACTATATTTTATTCAATAAGAATAGGATTGGGGAACAGGCTAGGCCAATATCACCCCTCTCCCTTCAACAATACAATATAATTACAATTAGTTTACTTAAATACATGTATATAGTCGAAACTATTCATATTGTGTTATTAATTATACAATAATATTTTTATTCAAATAAAAAGGTTATTTGATATACATAATAATACAATAATATTTTTTTTCAAATAAAAAGGTTATTTTATATACATAATGATTAAATTTGGTTTTTAAGGCCTGAAAGTGTACAAATATGTAAACAGAATCTAGTGATGGTAATGATAAAGGACGATTACAGTACTTAAAATCGATTACTTAATTCTAAAAAGTTTTGCACCTCAGTAAATATTAATTTATTTTGTTCAAATGAAATATCCGTAGAGCCATCCAATATATATATTGTCTATTACATAGATATCTCCTACCAGTCTTTTTTGATATCAAAAAATATCAACGAGTGTTGAAATTTTTTGATATCAAAAAAGATGAGTAGGAATTTTATTTATCACCCAATCCCTTCTTACATGCACAAATAGAAAAATATAATTCTTTGCTGTAGATTTCACTTTTACTGAACATTACGGCGTAGTGATACATTATTTTTTGACAGCAATTCAACCATTGCAAAGTCCTTTATATTGACCCAGTGTTTCCATCAAGGTCAATTGAATAACAATAGTTCATTTTTATTAAAAAAAAAAGTTACTTTTAATAAGAAATGACCTGTTCTTTGAAAATAAAAAAAAGTAGTTCGTTTTCAACTGACCAATCAAGGAGATATCGCAGAAGATAATGAAATATATCACACAAGCGATATCTACTGTAGAATGTATTATTGGGTGATAAAAAGATATACATGTCTAAATTACAAAAATAATGGACAAGAAAATGATTTTTTTTCAGTATCTTATTCTCTAGTATGATTATGTGGACTACAACAAACATCAAAAGAAAAAGGTTTTTCTCTGGTACGAGATCTTGTGAGTTCATGTAGTCTACTACTAGTGGAAAAGATTTTCTACAAACATCACAACAAAACATTTTTTTTTTTCCCTCCTGTATGGATTCTGGTGTGGTGTTTTAGATGACTACTAGTGGTAAATGATTTACTACAAACATCACAAGAAAAGGGTGTTTCTCCAGTATGGATTCTGGTGTGGTGTTTTAGATGACTACTAGTGGTAAATGATTTACTACAAACATCACAAGAAAAGGGTGTTTCTCCAGTATGGATTCTGGTGTGGTGTTTTAGATTACTACTAGTGGTAAATGATTTACTACAAACATCACAAGAAAAGGGGGTTTCTCCAGTATGGATTCTGGTGTGTCGTTGCAGATCACTACTAGAGGTAAAAGATTTACTACAAACATCACAAGAAAAGGGTTTTTTTCCAGTATGGATTCTGGTGTGATTATATAGACTACTACTACGGGAAAATGATTTCCTACAAACATCACAAGAAAAGGGTTTTTCACCCGTATGAGTAATGATGTGTTTATGTAGAATAACTTTTTCTGAAAATGATTTACTACAAACATCACATTTATATGGCTTCTCGTCTGTATGGGTTTTGGTGTGTCGTTGTAAATTACCGCTAGTGGTAAATGATTTACTACAGACAACACAAGAAAAGCGCTTCTCGCCAGAATGAGTTCTGGTGTGTTTCTTTAGAGTACTATACTGTGTAAATGATTTTTTACAAACATCACAAGAAAAGGGTTTTTCACCAGTATGTATTCTGCCGTGTTTACGTAAATAACTACTAGTGGTAAATGATTTCTTACAAACATCACAAGAAAAGGGTTTTTCTTCAGAATGGGATCTGACGTGTTGATGTAAATTACTACTGCAGGTAAATGATTTACTACAAACATCACAAGAAAAGGGTTTTTCTCCCGTGTGAATTCTGGTGTGTTCATGTAGCTTACCACTAGTGGTAAATGATTTACTGCAAACATCACAAGAAAAGGGTGTTTCTCCAGTATGGATTCTGGTGTGTATCTGGAGATTACTACTAGTGGTAAATGATTTACTACAAACATCACAAGAAAAGGGTTTTTCACCAGTATGGATTCTGGTGTGTTGCCGTAGACTACCAAGGGCAGAAAATGATTTACTACAAACATCACAAGAAAGGGGTTTTTCACCAGTATGTATTCTAATATGTTCTTGCAGGTTTCTACTAGCGGAAAATGATTTATTACAAACATCACAAGAAAATTTTTTTTCACCAGTATGAATTCTGGTGTGTCGCTGTAGATTACTACTACAGGTAAATGATTTTCTACAAACATCACAAGAAAATGGTTTTTCACCTGTATGAATCATAATGTGTTTACTTAAATTATGAAGAGAATTAAATGATTTACCACAAACATCACATTTATAAGTTTTTTTTGAGTCATAATGCTTTGACATTTTCTAAATCTCCTCTCGGTAAATACACAAAACAAAATGGTAATTAGGAGATAAACACCGACTGATTAGAATTTAGAGATCTGATATTGTCTATTTGATATGAATTTAAATCATTGTTGACGGTCGCAAGAACCGGATGAAATCGGGTTATAAAATCACTTCAAATCTGTAAACATCAGTTTCATCCTTTACATCACTATTAGAGGACCAATACTGAACCTGAATAAATAAAATAATTAAAAATAATCAAGATGCATAAATTATCAACCATACAACTTATAGAAATAAAATAAAATGGGGTTTTAGGGGCTATTGTTCTGCTGCTAATAACACTTTAAGAAATGAAAAGATAGGTTGCCAGGCAACGAAACATACGCCCACAGCAGCTAAATCGTCCGGGCAGTGAACAAGAGTTGTTGCATATTTTTACTTTTTTCGGTATTGAAACATTTATAATACACTAAAATCTGATTAAGAGCAACAACTCATGAAGTAATTTTCAGAAAACCATTAGAATTTGTTGGTTTTTATAAAGTTCTGTCACATGCTAACGTTTTGTATACAAAACTTTTAATATCGTGGAATTAGTTGTTAAAGTCATAAAAATTCATTGAAAATCAATATACTTGTTCGTCTCAAGATCTTAAACTCTGTGTATCAATCTGAAGTCAATCGGATGATAACTTTAGCCTTTAGAGTGGAAATCGTTGAAATTCAATAGGATTTTTTGTCTCATGACCTTAAACACTGTGTATAAATTTGAGGTCAATCGGCTATTAACTTTGGCCTCTAGAGCGTCCACAAGATTTTTTTAAGTGATCAAGGACCTTAACTCTGGCAGTAATTATTTGAAATCACTGAAAATCAATAGGCTTCTTCGTCTCAAGACCTTAAACACTGTGTATAAATTTAAGGTCAATCGGATATTAACTTTGGCCCATAGAGCGTCCAAAAGCAATTGTGACGGTGGCAACGACAATATACGGCCACGTTTCAATGTGGGCGTATAATAAAATAGAATAATGTCCCAATTTTTGGCAATTAAGGTCAATCGGATATTAACTTTGGCCTCTAGAGCGTCCACAAGATTTTTTTAAGTGATCAAGTCCCTTTCCCTTTTCTGTGATGACTTTTGGGTATAGAATCAAAGAAATGTGTTTGAATATAAATTTTCTGCGAGATTTTGCTGAACATTCATGATTTGAGGTGGAAGGATACAAGAGTTCAGCGGTTGGTTAGCTTTTTATGTGATGTCAGCGCTATGATATCATTTCGGACTCGGGCTGGAGTATGTGACGTTCGGACTCAGGATCCATTTATAATAAGCCAAAAACGGTTTTATAAAAATAACATGCGAATAAAATTTATCGCTTGGCATCAAGTAGAACAGGTAGACCTCTACCTCTTAAGGAATGGCAAAATTTCCAATGTTGAATGTTTATGAAAAGAATTTTTATTTCTTTATATCGGTAATATGTATATAAAAAAAGTAGCTGATGAATTTATTGACATTAACATGAAAGACATGGTTATTAAAAGGCTCCACCAAAGGATAAAACATTAGTTGCACTAAGTTTCTTTATCATGAACCTACAGAAAAACCAAAAGTATCATTCATGTTTTTACAAGTCCCATGAAATTTTAACGATAATCTGTAAGCTGCAGTTGACATGCATTCCTCAACAACCTTACCAGACAGCAGTACCAATCGATATATGAGTGTAGCAATGCAAAAGGCTTTTTTTTTAAAATTTGAATTGGACTAAAAGTGAAGATTTACTAGCATTCTAACCCTCCTCCCATTTAAGAAACTAATAAAAAAAAAACAATTCAAAATCGATTAAGAAATAAGAAAGTTATTGCACTTTTCAGACCCAAAATTGATGGACGTCCGTATACACGTTTTTCTAGAATTGCAAAAAGTGACCAAAGACCATTTCTCAGAAACTATTGAAGATATTGGCATCACTACGCTCTAATTACCATATAAGGCACCACAGGTCTGCATATTATTATACGCATTTCGTACTACAAAAATATGACATCAGCTGAATAAAAAACAAGACCTGATAATACATGCCTTTTGACAAGTGATTTTAGCTATCAACGGAAATTTAAAATACTATTTTATAAAGAATGTAAACGATGTTTAGACATTATGAACTGCAGTGGACTCTGTCACTTTCGACATCTGAATTCTACGGCATTCTGTGAAATCCGTCATCATTTTCATTTCCCGATTTATTTTCTTATTACTTCAACCAAAATAATTTTGAGCAATCTGGATTCTGAATATTTCGAATTACAACATCAATCAGCGGTCTTGTCCCACACGATTTGCGTTAAATTAACATTTGATAATCCGACCTTCAATCAGTGGGTGTTAACCAACAAGCAATCACCAATCGATTATCTGTCGGCATAAATCATGTGTCTGTCAAATGTTGATTACCATGATAATTTTATAATCTCTTGTATCCGACATTTTAAAGTGAAAAGATAAATTCAAACAGTGGTTTAAGGGCGTGGACAAACACAACTTGTCGTCAGTCAATTGGTCGACCAATTGTAAGTGCTATTAAGTCAACTTTAGATGATTATATATATTCAAAGTAAATTGTTATGTATATGTATTGTTATGTTATTGTGTCTTGTTATGCAATCGTTTGATATAATGTAATAAAATTTTGAATGTAAAGAAAGCTTTATCATATTTTAAGATCTGTGTATTCGAGGGTGCATTATAATAAAACTTCTGGTATTCGAAGGTACAATAATACACTTCTGGTATAATTGAGGCAATTGAGGATTCCGACATGCTGTCTAATCTGGCATATTGTATCGATCCCCTATGATGTTGGAATTGACAGAGTCCACTGTACAAGTATTTCATTTTCTATCGTACAAACAAAGGCAGTAATTATTGAGGAATATTACTGAGGAATATTACTGAGATGAACTTAAAGCCTGTACCGGCACGGGAATTAAATATAGAAAATATCAGAAAATATAAGTAATCGCAACAATCAAAGCGGGATAACCGATAATCCCGATGTTATTGTTGTACATGTATGTGCAAAGAATCCTTACGATTCTTGGGTGGATGAGCTGTCAATTATCGATAATGGCGGCCGTGTGTTGATTGGGATTATTCCATTTCAATGTAAAACAGGGCTCGAAATTCGTCATTTTTTGCGAGAATCTAAGAGGATTCTCATATATGCAATCTGCGCTAATCTTTCGAATCTTAATATTGACTAAAAAAACAAAATTGTGTTTAGTGTTAATCGCCAGTATCAGAAAATGCCGTAGCTAAAATAAGCTGATACGGTGGCGTGGCATTTCTTCATAACACAATTTGTAGTCCTTTGTCCATCACGTAACTTGCAAAATTTTTATTCATTCCTGGATGACAGACAAACGGCACAATGCTCATGTGACAACCATAACTGAAATTGCTATAAAATAAAATTCTGTACGACTATGATATAGCCTTCAATAATATTTTTAAAATTAAGCCTCTGTCAGTAGTGTATAAAATTAAAATTCATAACGGTAAACGCTATTTAGAACTGGTTTATTGACATAATTCCAACCGATATGTCATGTGTCATCGGAATTCGGCAATTCTGTCGGGAAAACATCTTCGTTTCTCTCTCTGTGTGTTCGATGTTCTATAAAGGGATTATATTTAAAGAAGATTTAAATTAACATAACAACTGGTCAGTGAATCCCTCATTGTATGATCCAGTTATTATTTTAATATCTGGACGGAGCGTGGAAGACGCGCAATTCGGAAAACATGCCGAGGTCGTCTTCAATGGCCACGTGGCTTATTTTACTGAACCTATTACTATTATGTATAATCAGCAAGCTTGTTTTGTTTATTTAACCGGATTTTTAAAAATCACCGTTAAATGTGCTAATTACTCGTATTATAAACCACTAAGGTACACTGTATGTCTGTTGTTGTAGCCGACAAGCAAGTTGATTGTCTTCTTAATTAACAAGTAATAATTAACCCGTCGTAATTTAGCCAAAAGTAGATTGATTATTTACGATACCATAGTGGCCGATTCATTGTTTACCATTCGGCTTGAATAAACATCAATCGGCTAAACCCGACAAAATATACTGACCATGACTAACATTCAATTATCGGACTCGACAATTATCAGAGATGTTTTTTTTTTTTCAGAAAAATTTTACGCAAATCCTTGTCGGTTCGCAGCGTAAGCTCTTGCAAGAATCCTTGTGCGAATTAGATTCAGAGATTCGCGTGAATTTCTAGTCCTGGCAAAATACATTTAAGCTTTCACAATTATAAAAACATTATCAGTGATCGCTTGTTTGATAAACGAAAAACACAATATTACTAAATATACACAAATTTTCAACAATATTTTATTGTCAAGTTCTTTTATCACACAAATTTTCAACAGATCGAAACCGAAACCGAGTCCGAAAAGTCGTCAAGTAAGTCTGAACCATCGTCCAAAAGATCGTCTGTGTTGAGTCTGAAATGATGGAAGACTGAAATGTTGTGCTACCAATTCCCTGACAATACGAATTCGGAATTGTTGAATAAAAAACCCATATATGCGATGAGAGAACAGGCAAAATCAAGGCTGGAACATGCATTGCATTCCTGTTCCTCTTTTTTAAATTATATTTTGTCTGGTTTGGGTATGGAGTATGTATATATACTGATAGGTCAGACTCCTGTGATCTAACTGTCAATTAGGACGGTTCCTGAACGTACAGGGCGGGTGTAATGTAACCTACATTCTGAGCTGAACTAATAAAATATTTAATATACGGATAGAAAGGTTAGAATCCTGCGATGCGGCCTACATCAGTGTTGAATGCATTAAACTTTTTTTTTTTATATTAAAAATGTCCTGTAACTTACAATCCCCGGTAGTCTAAAAGGAATTTAGACGGTCTATAATAATAAGTTATAAACCCACAAATTAATTAAATATATCTTGACTTGCTTCACCGAAAACGTTTCCGCCATTTTATAAAGAATGTAGTTGTTCAAAAATTGCGACTTGGACCTACTCCAACCCGAGTAATGCATGTTTACAGATTGCAATTCATTTTATTATGCGTTTGAGATTAAAAAGGTGATATTAAACAATTACATATTATAATTTATATCTATAATTGATAATATACCGGTTCTTTATGCGAAATTGTCATTTTTAATTGAACATCGTGGCGTTTTTGTTTCTCAAAATGCGATTTCAAAGGAAGCGATTTTCTGTAATACAAGAGTTATGTCCCTTGGTTACAACTTCCAAACTTGCTTATAAATCACATTTTGAGGGGCATTTTGACATAAAAACGTTACTTTAAAAGCAAATATGTTTCAAGGTCTGTGCAACTTTTTTTCTTTCTTACAAAATTGTTTTATCGGAAATTGACACTATGAGAGTTATGGAATTAGGCAGGCTACCCTATTTCTTGTTAAAGAGACAATAACACTCTTGCTGGCTTGACAGCTCCAGAAAATAAATAATAGCCTTATTCTAAGTACTAGATGTTTAAGTGTCCTACCTGTTGTGTAATTTATCCATTACATCCTATTTTACTTGTCCAGAGGGTTTGAAAATATTTTTAAATCCAAGTCACACTTGAAAAGGTTTACGTTAGGCTTTTCAAATCATTTTGTTGAATTTTTCCAATTTTTTAAATTAGGTGTGTTAAGATGAAATTTGTATCACCAATTAATTGGAATATTGTAAAATAGTACAATTTGTTGACCAGAATAAAAATTGGGACATATTATTCAGTTACAAGAAGAGTGGTGAGAGAGAGAGAGAGAGAAATGGGGTTTAACGTCCACTCGACACAAACTAGGTCATTTCGGGACTAACATATGGTTTAATTTTATTTACATAATTCGCTTGCGCGTAGGGGTCTTTAGCAGTGGGAGAAAACCGGAGGACCCGGAGAAAACCCACGAGGTTGGAAGATGAGTGGTATTGAGCCTTTAAGTACAAATTGGTATAAGAGACCATTGCAAAATTTCTACACTTGGAAATTGATATAATTAAAGTGGTTATTTTGAAATTGGTGTCATTAAAGTGTTTTTTTTCATGTAACTGAGACACTGGAATAAAACAGGTTTTAATCTGTAAATAATCCACAGGTCAAGCTATTTGGTTTTTACTGAGAGAACTTTGCTTTTCCACATAAAGCAAGCGGATTCTTTTTCCCCACAGGTTTTTTTCTATCCGCACTGATCACACCAAACATCAACTAGCTGGACAAAGGGAAAAGATGACCCGCCCTCTCTTCTCACTACAGCGATTTTAACACCAAGTGACTGTCCATAATATCATACCACAATATATTGGAAGTTAAATTTGTAACGAACAACAACAACAAGGTAAAACCTCTCACAAGTCTATGTCAAGAAAAAAAAATGGGTCTGGCCAGGTAATCATCCCCTTTATAAAATTACCTACAACCTTTCAGATCGTCCATCGTCGAGAAAAACCCATGGGTCTGGCCAGGTAATAAATTAGGACATCTTTTATTTTTCATTGATAAAAAAACTAATTAAATTCCTCTACAGATTTTATTTTTCTTCTTCAATTAAAGAACCATATTTAATTGTTACTGGTACTAAAATAATTCATATTCAAATTTGTTTTCTGAAAATAACCCTCTAGTAGAGGGTGTATAAATAATCTTCTTTATATACCCATCTTCATTATCCCAGTCGGTGCAGAATAGTCTTCATTATCCCAGTCGGTGCAGAATAGTCTTCATTATCCCAGTCAGTGCAGAATAGTCTTCATTATCCCAGTCGGTGCAGAATAGTCTTCATTATCCCAGTCGGTGCAGAATAGTCTTTGTTAGTAAGATGTTAAACCCTATTTCCTGTTGAATAATTTTGGTGATAACTAATTTACTACAAACATCACAAGAAAATATTTTTCTCCCGGGTCAGTTTTTGTGTTGCTGTAGATGACTATTGACGACAAGATGACTATTGACTACAAGATGTAAAAGGGTTTTCACCAGTATCTTATTCTCTAGTTTAAATTTCTTTATGTTTATGTAGACTACTACTAACACTAAATGATTTACTACAAACATCACAAGTAAAGGCTTTTTCTAAAGTATGGGTTCTGATGTGTACATGTAGATTACTACTAGTAGGGGTTTCAGGTCACGTGACTTTAGCGTGAAATCGGACAGCCAGCGGCTGAAATATAGCCCACTTCAATCTACGATTCTGAATTACTTTTTTATGTAAATGCATTACTAGCAATTGTATTGCAATAGTTTAATATCAATCTCAATATCTGTAAAGATTCAGGCTAAAAAATTATCGAAATGTAAGCGAAATTACCGTTTGTTTACATGAGACGCTCGCGGGAAAATACCGCTCTGACGTCACGCGGCCTGAGATTTTCCAATGCTATGACTCACTTCATTGGTGAATCTGCAGCTTAGTTACCTGGGGATTTTGATATAGAACCAATCAAACGATAGATAACATTTTTGTGGTTATTATGGTTGTTGATACCACCTGATCGGACAAGTAGACCCGTAGAAAATGGGATTTATCTGTTTTGATGACTGAAAATTGCCAAATTTCAACTAAATATTAAAAAACTTTCTTGAGGTATCATCCAGATTATAAATATTTGACATATTATCATTCAAATTATTACGATTTTAATAAATTTTAGCTGACAATAACGTGCGGATTTCAGTTTTAAAATTGGTACTAGCGATTCTGAAGGGAAAATACCGCTTATGACGTCACTCAAATATGACTGAAAAGCACTATTTTGGTGCCATGCCAAGCATTGACTGGTATATAGCATTTTGATTACATTATTGACGTCGATCTCAGATTTTAAAATTCCATAACTTTGGATCTAAATAGAATATTTTGATGAAATAAAAAAATTTGGGTAGCATTTTATGTATATTTTCACAAAATATTTTTAAAAATTTTTTTCCTGTCATTTGAAACTTTGACCTGAAACCCCTACTACTAGTGACTTTTTGTTTTTTTATCGTACAGACTTTAATAATGATGATCGCGGCTAGCCTAAAATTGAAAAGCTAATAAATTCGGTTCAGAGTGGAGCTTAACTATTATAGCGAGAACTATCAATTCTTTAGCTTGACATCAGAAGGCACAAGAAAATTTTTTTTCACCCCGTATGAGTTCTTCTGTGTCGCTGTAGAACACTGCTACTGGTAAATGATTTTCTACAAACATCACAAGAATAAGGCTTTTCTCTAGTGTGAATTCTTGTGTGTATTTGTAGACTAGTAATAATGGTAAATGATTTACTACAAACATCACATTTATATGGTTTATATCCATTATGAGTTCTGTTGTGTTCATGTAGAGTACGACTACTGGCAAATGATTTTCTACAAATATCACAAGAAAAGGGTTTTTATCCGGTATGGACTCTGGTGTGTATATGTAGACTACTGCTATTGGCAAATGATTTACTACAAATATCACAAGAAAAGGGTTTTTCACCTGTGTGAATTCTGGTGTGTCTCTGTAGATTACTACTCAAGGAAAATGATTTTCTACAAACATCACAAGAGAAGGGTTTTTCACCGGTATGAACTCTGGTGTGTCGTTGTAGATGACTACTAGTACTACATGATTTATTACAAACATCACAAATAAAGGGTTTTTCACCTGTGTGAATTCTTGTGTGGTGTTTTAGATTACTTCTAGTGAAAAATGATCGCCTACAAATATCACAAGAAAAGGGTTTTTCGCCAGTATGGGTTCTGGTGTGTACATGTAGATATGTTCTCGTGGTAAATGATTTACTACAAACATCACAAGAAAAGGGTTTATCTCCCGTATGAATACTAGTGTGTACATTTAGGCTACTACTAGTGGTAAATGATTTTCTACAAATACCACAAAAAAATGGATTTCCTCCAGTATGAAATCTGGTATGTACATGTAGATCACTTCTAGAGGCAAAAGATTTACTACAAACATCACAAGAAAAGGGTTTTTCACCTGTGTGAATTCTGGCGTGTTGCTGTAGATAACTTTTACTAGTAAATGATTTACTACAAACATCACAAGAAAAGGGTTTTTCACCTGTGTGAATTTTGGTGTGTCTCTGTTGATGACTACTACAGGTAAATGATTTACTACAAACATCACATTTATATGGCTTCTTTCTAGTATGGTTCATAATGTGTCTATTTAAAACAGAAGGTTCACTAAATGATTTATCACAAACATCACATTTATATGGTTTCACTTGAGTTTTGGTGTTGATCATAATATGAGTTCTGGTGTGTCGATGCAGATTAAAACTAGTTGTAAATGATTTACTACAAACATCACAAGAGAAGGGTTTTTCACCAGTATGAATTCTGGTGTGTTTCTTTAGACCACCACTAGTGGTAAAAGACTTTTTACAAACATCACAAGAAAAGGGTTTTTCTCCCGTGTGAATTCTTGCATGTACATGTAGACCACTACTAGAGGTAAAAGACTTTTTACAAACATCACAAAAAAAAAGGTTTTTTCCAGTATGACTTTTCAGGTGTAGCTGTAGTGTATATCTTTCTGTAAACGATTTTGTACAAACATCACAAGAAAAGGGTTTTTCCCCAGTATGGGTCCGGGCATGTGAATTCAATCTGAACTTATGACTGAATGATTTTTTACAAACATTACAAGAAAAGGGTTTTGCTCCACTGTGGATTCTGATGTGTACACCCAATGCGCTATTAGTGGTAAATGATTTATCACACACATCACAATTATGTGGTTTCATGCCAGTATGAATCATAATATGTCTATTCAAACCAGAAGGGTCCCTAAATGATTTTTTACAAACATCACATTTAAATGGCCTCTCTCCAGTATGAATCATAATATGACTATTTAAACTTGTAGAGTCACTTAGTGATTTACCACAAATATCACATTGATAGTTTTTTTTGGAAACAGAATGCTTTGACATTGTCAGCTTTTCTCCTGATCTTCGCTCTGTAAAAAAAAAATAATTTTAATTAATTTCAGATTGTCACGTATAATCGAAACCACACCAGTTGACTCAATGACAGTTTTTATGGTTCATCAATTCACTTGTGTGTAAGGGTCCCTAGCAGTGGGAGGAAAACGGAGGCCCTGGGGAAAACACATGAGGTTGGAAGGCAACCCTACACCTTGTCATGTACAACTGGGGAGTTGAAACCACCCCAGTTGACTCACTGACAAATCTTATGACACAAAATGTCAGCGCTAACCATTCGGCCACTCAACAACTTGCTTTTATTGCACAATCAGTGACTATAACATTAGTTTTCATTGGAGAGTTAATTTTTCTCAACCAATCATTATTAAATTTAAGAAATAAATACAATAAATAAACAGTTGATTGATCTCAGTCTTTTGTTTGTTAATGCTGATGCCAAGAATGATTATTCAGCACTTTTGTATTTATTTAAGAAATAAATACAATAAATAAACAGTTGATTGATCTCAGTTTTTTGTTTGTTAATGCTGATGCCAAGAATGATTATTCAGTGCTTTTATACGGCAAAGTATCTACTTCCGTTATTTTACCGTACATCGTTTCTGATTCAAAATGGCGGAAAGTACAGATATATTCCACCATTTTGGCAACTCGTCTTTCAAGTTCGACGCAGAAGCACGATTTTACGGGAAAAACATAAACCACTGACAGTCTTAGTACTTAATTAAAAAACCAAAGTCCGCAGAAATGCGCCCTCGACCAAAATAGAATAATATTCTAAATGCTTTTCTACAATTTACATTTATTATCTTATTTTCTTTTAAAAATAATTCTCCAGTTTCTACCATAGAAATTCAAGTATGGCTATTTCGTTCCTTTATAAGAAACGGAAAAAGAAGCAATGTTAGACAAAAAACAAATACATGTAGAACTGTTGGGTTAGGGTTAGGTTTTGGGTTTGCGTTATGGGTTAATGTTAAACGGAAGCGTACGGCAAAATAGTAAATAAAGTAAAGTGCCGTATACGGTTAAATATCCACTGCCTAAAGAATAAGATCAAATGGGGTTTAACGTCCTACTGTTCTGCAGTCAATGACCGGGTTTTGTAGTCAAATTATTACCTTGCAGTGTCTTAAATCATTTGTTGTTTCTTCGTATTTAATTAAACATTAAATAATAGATACTAATAATCTGCAATGAACTTATACGCCGGTACTGTATATTAAATCAACAATTTAATTACGTCTTATCTGCCGGAATCAGATATCCGCCATTTTTTAAGCAAAGTATTGACGTGGACCGTCTCCTACCCGAGTAACTCATATCTGAAGCTTACACGTCATTATACAATAAGGTTATGCTATAGACAGACGAGCGTATTTTTCCGCCCCAATCGCGGCGATTGAAATTCGCCAGCGATTTTTTTTACGGCCGATAACGAACGGGCACACGTAGCGATCGTCTCAAGAGCGTACGCCACTCTGTGAGTAATTATGTCGATCACATGACTTGTCCATCACGTGACTTGTACAAAATGGCAGCAATTTTGAGATCATGTGATATCAACGATCTCGAGGATTGGCTTATAAAAATGAATCGCCCGACAATATACGCTGGACACGGGCACACAAGCGAATTTAATCGCCGGCGAAAAATATTCGGCCGAAAATATCTAACATGCTAGATACGAGCGATTCATCGGGCGAATGGTTCGCCAAGCAGAATCGTCGTCGCCCTGAAGGGGCACACGGGCGTATTTTTCGAGCGATTTTAAAAATCGCCGCGATCGGGCGAAAAAATACGCTCGTCTGTCCCCCACTTTAGTAACAGCTTTCTTGTGATATCTGGTTGATTCAATTGTGCCAACCCTTCACGTCCCTATTGGTTCTTATTGTTCTCCCAATTATGCTTAACATCAGGATACTCCAGACACTTCTCGTAGTTCTAGTGTCGAATATGTAGCTCATTACCGATTTTACCGGGTCAGTAGTGGCTTTCTCCTGTAAGTTATGGAATGTTGGCAGTATATGTTCTGCAGGTACAAACCGTAGAGCCGTGACTTTTCTAAAATTGTTTTGTTAATCAATGTTTTGTTAATTGATTTTCTTTCATGTGCTTCATGATGAAATAATAACATGGTTAAGTACACAACACCATAGTATTTCAAAGAAAACAAATGTATTAAAATATTAAAACAAACACAACTATCATTTATTAAAACAACAATATCAATTTTATTAAATCAACGTTTTTTTTTATTTCAAAATCAGATTGGTCCGAGTGGTTTTCCAGTCTTTGTCCGAGTGGTATTCAAAGAAAACAATTATATTAAAATAAATACAACTTTCACTTTATTTGTTGGGATGAGTGGTCTTTGAGATGGGTTTTCTGGATACCCTCATTATTTTTTGTGTAACTCATATGAAGATTATGGGTCATTGTTGTTTGGGTGATTGTATATTATATTCCATAATTTAAATTAGAAATAGAAATGAATAACATGATCCAGAAGAGAAATTCCAAATTATTATGGTTACTGCAGCTTACCAACCCCCATTATATAAAATCAACTACTAGTACATAACATTTAAGGCCTAAAGAAAGACCTACAATAGGATGTAGTAGTACTACATCCTATTGTAGGTCTTTCTTTAGGCCTTAAATGTTATTGCATCTTTTATTAATCAGACATTTATTAACTTGCCAACTTTCTATCCCATTGAATACTCTTGATTTTCAACAGATTTAAACACAATTGGAAGTTAATGATTTAATTAAAAAATGGAAAATCAAGACTTTGTTTACTTTAGTATTTCTCCTAACAGGCCTTATGTCGCTTAGAATGAAGTAATTTGACTGAAATGTTCAAGATATTCCCCTTTCATTATCTATTTTTTTACTATTATAACGAGAACTGCCAGCTATTTATCTTAATCTTACATACTGAATATTTAACTAATGATGATATTTCATTTCCGAAATGTTTTCATACCGGAAAGCATTCATTTCAAATAATCCATACTAAGCTGGGTCACAATAATATCAACTTAAACTATCATAAATTCTTCACACACTCTGTTCTTGTAATCACTACACTGCAGAATACTATTTGTTACACTGTCCAAATTTTACCAATGTTAGATTAAAAACTATAAATAAATTACCAAATAGTCCATTTATATTAACTTAAAAACTCGCATCAACTATGATAGAAATAATACATTGCAAATAAATAAAAATATGTACATTTCCACTTATTTATACATTTATCTAAAAAACTTCAATAACCATTCTAAAATTCCCTTTAAATTTGTTTTATCAGACATCACATGTATTGCATGGTATTCAGGACATATTATTTTTATTCCTGGGGGTTGGATGGCTGAATGGGTAGCACATGCGCGTTGTACCATAAAGTCTGTCATTGAGTCAACTGGTGTGGTTTCGATTGTATGTGACAAGGAGTAGGGTCGCCTGTCCAACCTCGTGTTTTTTTTTTCTGAGTCCTCCGGTTTCCTCCCACTGCTAAAGAACCCTACACGCAAGCGAATTATTGAAATAAAATTAAACCATATGTTAGTCCCGAAATGACCTAGTTTGTGTTGAGTGGATGTTAAACCCCATTTCTCTCTCTCTCTCTTTTATTCCTACTAATGCTAAGGAATTGACACTTAGCAGACGCCGTTTTTTAAATCCTGTTGTCTTTTTTTATGGCAAATAGTGGTTATGAAATTAGGCAGGCTACCCTACTTTTTGTCAAATAGATTGGTATAAAAGACCATCGTAAAATTGGAAATTGGAATTTTTAAATATATTTTTAAATTGGTGTAATTAAAGTGATTATTGGGGTAAATAAAGCAATCAATTTGAAAGGGGTGTAATTAAAGTGATTGTTTTTATTTAACTCAGACACTGGAATAAAACCTTTCAGAACGTCCATCGTCTAGAAAAAAAACACAGGTCTGGCCAGGTAATCATACTGTTTGTCTCCTAGAAGTTACGGATTGACATATATTTCAACTTGAATATATGACAGACCTTATGTTCTAAAACACTACACTACGCGACCATCAAACTCCAGTCATTTTTCATTCAATCTGGGACCTTGGTATTACATGCTTATTATACTATTTGCATAAAGAGGAGGAGTCATTTTGTCAGTCGAACACAACCGTTATTATGGTGTAACGACGACACATTTGAACATTTTTTTAAAACCAAACACTAATTGACATCTAGAGGTTCCACAAGCTAAAAACGTGACTTTTTGACTTTTCGTACAATCTGGGGCCATAAATCAGAACGTGGCGGTCCGTCCGATATGACCCAATATCAGTAAAAACAAAGATCATTGGGATATTAACATAGATTTCAACTTTCATCAAAATCAGACAAACATTGTGACCTCTAGAATATCCCCAGGTTAAATGAAATGAAATGGGGTTTAACGTCCTACTGTTCTGCTCCTAAACTGGGCTAATGAGGACAGGCATACGCATACAGTGTGCTATGAGGGAAAGTTTGCCCGGGCAGCGGCACTACGGCCTACTCTTATATCGAATTCCAACTGCCAAGGGATCTTTTACGTGCACGCCAATATGTACACGGGACCTTGGTTTTTCGTCCCATCCGAACGACTAGACAGCTGTCATTGTTAGGCCCCCCGTCCTGCATTACTGACAAGGGGAAACCACGCCAGAAAATCTGGATGAACTTTCTCGGCCAATGCAGGGATCAAACACCCGACCTCCAGGCTAGCGAGCCAGCGCCTTACCCACTTAGCCACGTGTTCCTCGCCCCACAGGTTAAAAACTCGATTCTTCATACAGTAGGAGCATTTATCCTGAAATTCGTGCCAATATCGAAAGGAGCCATCATCGTTAGTATATAAAGCTATATTTTTCAAAATTAGATAAAAATTGTATGTGGTAGTGCCCACAAACAAAATGTGAACGGACTGGTACACATCCGTCCGGACACACGGACAGGGCCGACAACAATTTATGTCCACATGTGGACGTAAAAAAATTGACAGAGCAGAAGTTAATGTCTTGTCTACAATAATAACATCTGTAGGCCTGTTCAAATAGCCGACTAGTTGAGGTTGATAAATTACACTATCCTTTATTTTTCATTCATAACAAACTAATTAAACTCCTTTGGTACAGATTTTATTTTTGGTGTATAAATGATTTGCTATAAAAATATTACAAGAAAAGGGTCTTTTCGCCAGTACGAGTTCTTGTATGACTACATGTGATAAAAGGTTTTATTACAAACATCACAAGCTAAAGGTTTTATTACAAACATCACAAGCACTATGCCCTACTCTTATAAAAAATTCCAATTGTCAAGGGATCTTTTACGTGCACGCCAATGTGTACACGGGACCTCAGTTTTTCATCCCAACTAGACAGCTGTCCTTGTCAGGCCCTCCGTCCTGCATCACTGACAAGGGGAACCACACCGGAAAATCGTGATGAACCAGCAAGTTAGAAATTAGACGATAGCAGGTTAGAATTTTGAATCTAATATACCGCCATAAAGGTACATGGGAAGATCAATATGACGGTTTTTAATAGTTTGTTTGCTTTTGTTATACTTAAATGACAATATTGGTGTCAGTCATTATCACATATTTGATAGAACTTGTTTAACACATTCCAAATATAATTTTAACAGAGATCACTGCTACGATAGATGGGTAATCACGGAAAAATATAAATTTATACCTTTATTCAGACCTGAATGTCATATGGTTTACTATTACTGGTAAATGATTTACTACAAACATCACAAGAAAAGGATTTTTCATGCGTATAAATTCTTGAACGTTTATGTAGATCACTCCCAGTGTTAATCGATATACGACAAACATCACTTTTCACCAGTATTTTATTCTCTAGCATGAATTCTTTTATGTTTATGTAGACTACTATTGTGTGTAAATGATTTACTACAAACATCACAAGAAAAGGGTTTTTCACCAGTATGAATTCTGGTGTGTATCTGTAGATAACTTCTAGAGGTAAAAGATTTTTCACAAACATCACAAGAAAAGGTTTTTTTTCCAGTATGGGTTCTGGTGTGTCGCTCCAGATTACTTCTATCGGTAAATGATTTTCTACAAACATCACAAGAAAATGGTTTTTCGCCTGTATGTGTATTCATGTGTTGCTGTAGACTAATACTAATCGTAAATGATTTCGTACAAACATCACAAGAAAAGGGTTTTTCACCAGTATGAATTCTGGTGTGTATCTGTAGATAACTTCTAGAGGTAAAAGATTTTTCACAAACATCACAAGAAAAGGGTTTTTCACCTGTATGGATTCTGGTGTGTACTTGTAGATTATTACTCTGCGTAAATGATTTTTTACAAATATCACAAGAAAAGGGTTTTTCGCCAGTATGAGTCCTGGTGTGTGAATGTAGATTATCAATAGTGGTAAAAGATTTTCTACAAACATCACAAGAATAGGGTTTTTCACCAGTATGAATTCTGGTGTGTTTTTCTCGACCTCTACTAGTGGTAAATGTTTTACTACAAACATCACAAAAAAAGGGTTTTTCCCCTGTATGGATTCTGGTGTGTACGTGGAGATTACCACAAGTCGTAAATGTTTTACTACAAACATCACAAGAAAAGGGTTTTTCACCAGTATGGGTTCTGGTGTGTTGTTCCAGATTACTGCTATGGGTAAATGATTTTTTACAAACATCACAAGAAAAGGGTTTTTCACCAGTATGTATTTTGATGTGTTGCTGTAGGCTGCTACTATTGGTAAATGATTTCCTACAAACATCACATTTATATGGCCTCTCCCCAGTATGAATCATAATGTGACTATTTAAACTAGTAGAGTCTCTTATTGATTTACCACAAATATCACATTGAAAGTTTTTATTGGAAACAGAATGCTTTGACATTTTCAGCTTTTCTCTTGATCTTCTCTCTTTAAAAAAAAATAACATTAATTAATTTCACAATTTAATTTAATTCAAAAACACTAGGATATTTTTAAACCCCTGATAAAATATCAGCAACAACTTAATCACCATTGAAAGGCAACAGACAACTGACTTGAATTCTTGTCTTCATGCAATATTGAACCTGAATAAGGTAAATAATTAATATTAATTTATAATGTTCATCAAGTGCCATAAATTATCAACCATAAAACTTATAGAATTTTATTAAAATTGGGTTTTAACGTACTACTGTAGACTGTTCTGCAATTTCTGGGTTTGGTCGTCATATCATTACCATAAAGTATCGTATTCTTAAACTAATTTTTATGCTTCTTCGTATTTAATTAAACATTTAATAACCGATATTAATCATCTATAATGAACTTACATACCTGTACCTTATATCAAATTAATAATTACGTCTTTTCTGCTGGAAACAGACATCCGCCATTTTTATAAGCACGGTAAGTCTAAAATATGACGTGGACCACCTCCTACCCGAGTAACTCATATCCGAAGATAACGGATAATTGATGTTTGTTTGAGTGTACATTATATTCCATAATTCAACTTAGATATAAACGTAAAATAGAATGTATAATATACAGTAATTGACTAGAATAATGCAGAAGAGAAATTCCAAATCATAATCATTGCCGCGGTTTATCAACCTCCAACATATAAAATCCTCTCCTATAAAAAAAATGATGATATTTTACACCAGAAAGCGTTCATTTTGAATAATCCATACTAACCTGCATCATAACAATAGCAACTTAAACATACTGCTAAATATAAAGTGTACTTATTGCAATTGTATCATGTGGTATTTTTATTAATAAGAAGGCGATTTAATATTATTAGACTTAGTTTTGTTTTTAACCATCTATCATATTTCAAGAGAGGCAAACACGCAACAACTGCAAGAAAAGTTTTTTGGGTGGTTTCTGATAGATTACCAACATCACAGTACCGGAAAGTTTGTCAATTTCGAGGGCATCTCTTCCTAAAAACCTACGACCGACCGATAATCCACACATACGAATATAGTAAATTTGGTGTCTGAACTAATGTTTTTGGGGTCAGTATTTCATTTTCAGATATCACTGTAACTCGGGTGTCATTTGCACTAATTTCTTTCACATTCGTTTAAATAAAAATCTTTGTTTACAATTCATATGGACAGCTTTAAACTGGGCACAAGTACAAATTAGATGATTTTTGGTGGTTTTAACGATTTTTACGAATTTTTAAACAAAGATTTGACATTGAATGAATGTGAAAGAAATTATTGCTATACACAAGATTAAATGATACCCGGTTTGCAGTGTAAGGTCAGTTAATTGATTCCTTATACCATTTTCGGAGTAATGACTGGCATATTTGGTATGTACATATTTTGAAGGGTTGCCCCCATCCCCATAAAATTCTGTCGTGGAAAATGAATAAAGCAAGACAATCAAATAGATCCCAAAGGAATCATTTACCTATTTGCTCAACATAGAATGAAAAGAGTGCTGTCATCTAAATGCTTTCTAAGAAGCATAAGGTTGATTTTCATTAAATGAGCACCTTTTGCAAAAATACACCTAAAAAAAATCCTTTCTTGTTCCTATGTTTATAAAGTTTTATTATAATGTCTATGATTTATTACAAATATTGGAAGACAATGATTTTGATTTCCTATGGGTTATTACATCGGAGCTGGATTAAGATTTGATATGCCAGGAAGGGAGTTTGTTTTGAATCTAAGAAGTTTTACCGGTCAGCCATCCCTTTAACACGTTTTCTATTTGCTTTAGTTATTAATTGCATGTTACCTAAAACATACTTGCAAGTATATTGACTACAATCAAGCACTCCTCATATACAGAACAGTTTTTATATTTGCCTTAGCCAGCATACTACAAATATATATATATATATATATAATATATATATATGTGGCTACTTTGAATCAGCATTTGCAAATGAAAAAAACTATTCAGTTGATTTATGGCTGGCAGCGGTCTCTGGGCTACAGCCTCTAAAACATATACCTTAATACTTTTGGTAGAAAATGATTTACTAACCAGCGGCTGCCAGGCAGGATACGCCCACATTTTCGAGAGATGGATAGAAAACAAGCTAAAACGAAAGTGATTTTTCCTACAATCAAGAGCCATAATTCAGGAAATTACAATTCGATATGCGCAAATATCGAAAGGAACCAAGATCTTTGAGATATAAACTTACATATCAAGTTTCAACAAAATTGGATAAAAATTGTGACCTTTATAGGGTCCACAACCTTGATATACCATATTTTTACGCAATTTGAGAACGAGGGGCGGCCATTTTGTCGATCCGTTTGGGCCGATTTTCACGAAATTCGAACTCAGTCGTCCCTAGGGTGTAACGGTGATATAATAATATGTTTTTTTAAATCGGATAAAAATTATGACCTCTATAGGGTCCACAAGCTAAAAACGCGATTTTTCGTACAATCAGGGGCCATAATTCAGTAAGTTACGGTCCGATGTGCTCGAATATCAAAAGGAACCAAGACCTTTGGGTTATAAACTTATATTTCAAGTTTCAACAAAATCGGATAAAAACTGTAACCTCTGATATACCATATTTTTACGCTATTTGAGAACGAAGGGCGGCCATTTCATCTGTCAGTTTTTGGCCGATTTTCACGAAATTCGAACTCAGTCGTCCTTAGGGTGTAACGGTGATATAATAATATGATTTTTTAAATCGGATAATAATTATGACCTCTATAGGGTCCACAAGCTAAAAACGTGATTTTTCGTACTATCAGGGGCCATAATTCAGGAAGTTAAGGTCCCATATGCGCAAATATCGAAAGGAACCGAGGCCTTTGGGTTATAAACTTACATTTCAAGTTTCAACAAAATCGGATAAAAATTGTGACTCTATAGGGTCCACAACCTTGATATACCATATTTTTACGCTATTTGAGAACGAACGGCGGCCATTTTGTCTGTCAGTTTAGGGCCGATTTTCACGAAATTCGAACTCGGCCGTCGTTATGGTGTAACGGTGATATATTAACATGGTTTTTTAAATCGGATAAAAATTATGACCTCTATAGGGTCCACAAGCCAAAAAACGTGTTTTTGCGTACAATCAGGGGCCATAATTCATGAAGTTACGGTCCGATATGCGCGAATATCGAAAGGAACCAAGATCTTTGTGTTATAAACTTAAATTTCAAGTTTCATTGAAATCGGATAAAAATTGTGACCTGTAGACTGTTTACAAACAATTGTGGACGGACGGACGGACAGGGGTGACGACAATATACGTCCACATAAAAATGTGGGCATATAAAAATTGTGACCTCTATAGGGTCCACAACCTTGATATACCATATTTTTACGCTATTTGAGAACGAACAGCGGCCTTTTTGTCTGTCAGTTTTGGGCCGATTTTCACGAAATTCGATCTCAGCCGTCCTTAGGGTGTAACGGTGATATATTAACACGATTGTTTAAATCGGATAAAAATTATGACCTCTATAGGGTCCACAAGCCAAAAAACGCGTCTTTGCGTACAATCAGGGGCCATAATTCATGAAGTTACGGTACGATATGCGCGAATATCGAAAGGAACCAAGATCTTTGTGTTATAAACTTACATTTCAAGTTTCAACAAAATCTCGATAAAAATTGTGACCTCTATAGGGTCCACAACCTTGATATACCATATTTTATCGCTATTTGAGAACGAACGGCGGCCATTTTGTCTGTCAGTTTTGGGCCGATTTTCACGAATTTCAAACTAAACTGTCCTTAGGGTTTAACGGTGATATAATAATACGGTTTTTTAAATCGGATAAAAATTATGACCTCTATAGGGTCCACAAGCCAAAAAACGCGTTTTTTATGTACAATCAGGGGCCATAATTCAGGAAGTTACGGTCCAATATGCGCGAATATCGAAAGGAACCGAGATCTTTGTGTTATAAACTTACATTACAAGTTTCAACAAAATCAGATAAAAATTGTGACCTCTACAGTGTTCACAAGCCAAAAACGTGATTTTTCGTACAATCAGGGGCCATAATCCATGAAGTTACGGTCCGATAGATGCCAATATCGAAAGGAACCGAGATCTTAGGGTGATAAACCTATATTTCGAGTTTCATTGAAATCGAATAAAAATTGTGACCTGTAGACTGTTCACAAACAATTGTGGCGGACAGGGGCGACAACAATATACGTCCACATGAAAATGTGGGCGTATAAAAACAACACAAGAAAAGGATTTTTCATCAGTATCAATTCTTGAACGTTTATGTAGATCACTCCCAGTGTTAATCGATATACAACAAACATCACTTTTCACCAGTATTTTATTCTCTAGCATGAATTCTTTTATGTTTATGTAGACTACTATTGTGGGTAAATGATTTACTACAAACATCACATTTATGTTTTTTTTCCGGTATGGATTCTGGTGTGTACATCTAGACTACTAATACGGGTAAATGATTTACTACAAACATCACAAGAAAATGGTTTTTTTCCAGTATGGGTTCTGGTGTGTCGCTGCAGATTACTTCTATCGGTAAATGATTTTCTACAAACATCACAAGAAAATGGTTTTTCGCCCGTATGTGTATTCATGTGTTGCTGTAGACTAATACTAATCGTAAATGATTTCGTACAAACATCACAAGAAAAGGGTTTTTCACCAGTATGAATTCTGGTGTGTATCTGTAGATAACTTCTAGAGGTAAAAGATTTTTCACAAACATCACAAGAAAAGGGTTTTTTTCCAGTATGGGTTCTGGTGTGTCGCTCCAGATTACTTCTATCGGTAAATGATTTTCTACAAACATCACAAGAAAATGGTTTTTCACCCGTATGTGTATTCATGTGTTGCTGTAGACTAATACTAATCGTAAATGATTTCGTACAAACATCACAAGAAAAGGGTTTCTCACCAGTATGAATTCTGGTGTGTATCTGTAGATAACTTCTAGAGGTAAATGATTTTTCACAAACATCACAAGAAAAGGGTTTTTCACCTGTATGGGTTCTGGTGTGTACCTGTAGATTATTACTCTGCGTAAATGATTTTTTACAAATATCACAAGAAAAGGGTTTTTCGCCAGTATGAGTCCTGGTGTGTGAATGTAGATTATCAATAGTGGTGAAAGATTTTCTACAAACATCACAAGAATAGGGTTTTTCACCAGTATGAATTCTGGTGTGTTTTTCTCGACCTCTACTAGTGGTAAATGTTTTACTACAAACATCACAAAAAAAGGGTTTTTCCCCTGTATGGATTCTGGTGTGTACTTGGAGATTACCACAAGTGGTAAATGATTTACTACAAACATCACAAGAAAAGGGTTTTTTTCCGGTATGGGTTCTGGTGTGTTGTTCCAGATTACTTCTATGGGTAAATGATTTTCTACAAACATCACAAGAAAAGGGTTTTTCACCAGTATGTATTTTGATGTGTTGCTGTAGACTGCTACTATTGGTAAATGATTTCCTACAAACATCACATTTATATGGCCTCTCCCCAGTATGAATCATAATGTGACTATTTAAACTAGTAGAGTCTCTTATTGATTTACCACAAATATCACATTGAAAGTTTTTATTGGAAACAGAATGCTTTGACATTTTCAGCTTTTCTCTTGATCTTCTCTCTTTAAAAAAAAATAACATTAATTAATTTCACAATTTAATTTAATTCAAAAACACTAGGATATTTTTCAACCCCTGATAAAATATCAGTAACAACTTAATCACCATTGAAAGGCAACAGACAACTGACTTGAATTCTTGTCTTCATGCAATATTGAACCTGAATAAGGTAAATAATTAATATTAATTTATAATGTTCATCAAGTGCCATAAATTATCAACCATAAAACTTATAGAATTTTAATAAAATTGGGTTTTAACGTACTACTGTAGACTGTTCTGCAATTTCTGGGTTTGGTCGTCATATCATTACCATAGAGTATCGTATTCTTAAACTAATTTTTATGCTTCTTCGTATTTAATTAAACATTAAATAACCGATATTAATCATCTATAATGAACTTACATACCTGTACCTTATATCAAATTAATAATTACGTCTTTTCTGCTGGAAACAGACATCCGCCATTTTTATAAGCACGGTAAGTCTAAAATATGACGTGGACCACCTCCTACCCGAGTAACTCATATCCGAAGATAACGGATAATTGATGTTTGTTTGAGTGTACATTATATTCCATAATTCAACTTAGATATAAACGTAAAATAGAATGTATAATATACAGTAATTGACTAGAATAATGCAGAAGAGAAATTCCAAATCATAATCATTGCCGCGATTTATCAACCTCCAACATATAAAATCCTCTCCTATAAAAAAAAATGATGATATTTTACACCAGAAAGCGTTCATTTTGAATAATCCATACTAACCTGCATCATAACAATAGCAACTTAAACATACTGCTAAATATAAAGTGTACATATTGCAATTGTATCATGTGGTATTTTTATTAATAAGAAGGCGATTTAATATTATTAGACTTAGTTTTGTTTTTAACCATCTATCATATTTCAAGAGAGGCAAACACGCAACAACTGCAAGAAAAGTTTTTTGGGTGGTTTCTGATAGATTACCAACATCAGAGTACCGGAAACTTTGTCAATTTCGAGGACATCTCTTCCTTAAAACTTACGACCGACCGATAATCCACACATACGAATATAGTAAATTTGGTGTCTGAACTAATGTTTTTGGGGTCAGTATTTCATTTTCAGATATCACTGTAACTCGGGTGTCATTTGCACTAATTTCTTTCACATTCGTTTAAAAAAAAAATCTTTGTTTACAATTCATATGGACAGCTTTAAACTGGGCACAAGTACAAATTAGATGATTTTTGGTGGTTTTTACGATTTTTTAAACAAAGATTTGACATTGAATGAATGTGAAAGAAATTATTGCTATACAAAAGATTAAATGATACCCGGTTTGCAGTGTATGGTCAGTTAATTGATCCCTTATACCATTTTCGGAGTAATGACTGGCATATTTGGTATGTACATATTTTGAAGGGTTGCCCCCATCCCCATAAAATTCTGTCGTGGAAAATGAATAAAGCAAGACAATCAAATAGATCCCAAAGGAATCATTTACCTATTTGCTCAACATAGAATGAAAAGAGTGCTGTCATCTAAATGCTTTCTAAGAAGCATAAGGTTGATTTTCATTAAATGAGCACCTTTTGCAAAAATACACCTAAAAAAAATCCTTTCTTGTTCCTATGTTTATAAAGTTTTATTATAATGTTTATGATTTATTACAAATATTGGAAGACAATGATTTTGATTTCCTATGGGTTATTACATCGGAGCTGGGTTAAGATTTGATATGCCAGGAAGGGAGTTTGTTTTGAATCTAAGAAGTTTTAACACGTTTTCTATTTGCTTTAGTTATTAATTGCATGTTACCTAAAACATACTTGCAAGTATATTGACTACAATCAGCCACTCCTCATATACAGAACAGTTTTTATATTTGCCTTAGCCAGCATACTACAAATATATATTTATATATATAATATATATATATAAAAGACAGTTCGGATAATATCATTACCTTTGTCGCTACTCATAACCCCCAACATCCCAACTTCTTTAAAACAATGTAGGGCAATCCTGGCATCAAACGACAACCTCAGAATTAAATTTGATAAGGTTCAATTCATTAAATCACAAAGACAGCCACCTAATCTGAAGCGTCTCCTAACCAAAGCAAAATTCAATTCATCTATCACAAGGACCGGCTTTTATGTATCTAAATGCCCGGATCTTCGATGTAAATGTTGCAACCATATTACGCCAAATAGCAAATATAATTTTCCTAAATTTACATTTAGTGTCAACGACAATATGAATTGTGACACAAAAAATCTCATATATGTCTTGACTTGCAATGGGTGTCTAAATTTTTACATAGGAGAGACGTCCACGCATCTACGGGATAAAGTACGCAACCATCGACGGGATTGTAATATTGAAAATGGGCCCTTATTTGTAAATAGACATATTTTTAAATGTGCACAACACCTACAAGTAAAATTCCAAATTTTCCCTTTTTATAAAATGAAAGTCGATGACACCACGAAAAGGAAATTAATGGAAAACCATTTTATTAAAAAATATGTTCCTCGACTTAATAGTCAATAAGTAACAATTGGCCATTAGCTTCATTAATTTTCTTAAACCTACCCCATGATTATCTTAAACTCATTGTTCATAAAGTGAACCCCATATACTACAGATTAACACATGTGTGTACATGTTTCTATTAGTTAACGATATACTATGTAACCATAGACAATGGTAACTATAGCCAATTAAAACCACAGTGTTACTATGTAAATATGTATAAATATACTATACTGTCCATCTTTATACAATGACATTATTTATGAATAGTCCCAAGACGGACGAAAAGTACTTTAAAATGTTATTAAACCAGTGCTGAAATCAGTTTGTGTCGGCATACCTTTTTTATCTTTTCATCATTTACCGTGAAACAAAGTAGTGCAGCTTTGCGGTTGTGCTAATAATTTTGGATATATATATATATATATATATATATATATGGCTACTTTGAATCAGCATTTGCAAATGAAAAAAACTATTCAGTTGATTTATGGCTGGCAGCGGTCTCTAGGCTACAGCCTCTAAAACATATACCTTAATACTTTTGGTGGAAAATGATTTACTAACCAGCGGCTGCCAGGCAGTATACGCCCACATTTTCGAGAGATGGATAGAAAACAAGCTAAAAGGAAAGTGATTTTTCCTACAATCAAGGGCCATAATTCAGGAAATTACAATTCGATATGCACAAATATCGAAAGGAACAAAGATCTTTGAGATATAAACTTACATATCAAGTTTCAACAAAATCGGATAAAAATTGTGACCTCTACAGGGTCCACAACCCTGATATACCATATTTTTACGCAATTTGAGAACGAGGGGGCGGCCATTTTGTCGATCAGTTTAGGCCGATTTTCACGAAATTCGAACTCAGTTGTCCCTAGGGTGTAACGGTGATATAATAATACGTTTTTTTAAATCGGATAAAAATTATGACCTCTATAGGGTCCACAATCTAAAAACGCGATTTTTCGTACAATCAGGGGTCATAATTCAGTAAGTTACGGTCTGATATGCGCGAATATCGAAAGGAACCAAGATCTTTGTGTTATAAACTTACATTTCAAGTTTCAACAAAATCGGATAAAAATTGTAACCTCTGATATACCATATTTTTATGCTATTTGAGAACGAAGGGCGGCCATTTTAGCTGTCAGTTTTTGGCCGATTTTCACGAAATTCGAACTCAGTTGTCCTTAGGGTGTAACGGTGATATAATAATATGATTTTTTAAATCAGATAATAATTATGATCTCTATAGGGTCCACAAGCTAAAAACGTGATTTTTCGTACATACAGGGGCCATAATTCAGGAAGTTACGGTCCGATATGCGCGAATATCAAAAGGAAACGAGACCTTTGGGTTATAAACTTACATTTCAAGTTTCAACAAAATCGGATAAAAATTGTGACCTCTATAGGGTCCACAACCTTGATATACCATATTTTTACGCTATTTGAGAACGAACGGCGGCCATTTTGTCTGTCAGTTTTGGGCCGATTTTCACGAAATTCGAACTCAGCCGTCCTTATGGTGTAACGGTGATATATTAACACGTTTTTTTAAATCGGATAAAAATTATGACCTCTATAGGGTCCACAAGCCAAAAAACACGTTTTAGCGTACAATCAGGGGCCATAATTCAGGAAGTTACGGTCCGATATGCGCGAATATCGAAAGGAACCAAGATCTTTGTGTTATAAACTTACATTTCAAGTTTCAACAAAATCGGATAAAAATTGTGAACTCTATAGGGTCCACAACCTTGATATACCATATTTTTTACGCTATTTGAGAACGAACGGCGTCCATTTTGTCTGTCAGTTTTTGGCCGATTTTCACGAAATTCGATCTCAGCCGTCCTTAGGGTGTAACGGTGATATATTAACACGGTTGTTTAAATCGGATAAAAATTATGACCTCTATAGGGTCCACAAGCCAAAAAACGCGTTTTTGCGTACAATCAGGGGCCATAATTCATGAAGTTACGGTCCGATATGCGCAAATATCGAAAGGAACCAAGATCTTTGTGTTATAAACTTACATTTCAAGTTTCAACAAAATCGGATAAAAATTGCGACCTCTATAGGGTCCACAACCTTGATATACCATATTTTATCGCTATTTGAGAACGCTATTTTTATGTGGACGTATATTGTCGTCGCCCCTGTTCGTCTGGACGTCCGGACGCCTGTCCGTCCACACTTGCGGGAAATTATACCGAATACCAACTGCAAAGGGATCTTTTACGTGCACGGGACCAATGCCAATGTACATGTATACACGGGAACACAGCTTTTTGTTTCAACCGAACGACTAGACAGCTGTTCTTGTCAAACCCTTGGATGAACGGTTACCTGAGACGTATAATACGCAAACGTAATAAAATTCATATCAGTGCTAAACCCCATAATAGTCTCGATACATGGAAATAATTTCGTGAATACAGAAATTTTGTTATATCTGAAGTAAGAACATGTAAAAGGCAATACTACGATAACATTGATAATAAAATTAACTCTGACAGATTTGATAAAAGGGCTTGCTTTTCATACCGGCAAATCCTCCACGGAAATCCCTACCCTTAAAGTTAATGATAGACTTTTTTATGGTGATTTTGAAAAAACTAATATTTTAAACGATTATTTTTGGAGTCAGTCTCATCTTGAGGATGCTAACGATGAGCCACCGGAACTTTATGTTAATCCGACTGAAATTGAACAGCCAGTTTACACAGCGGCTAAGGTACGCGATCAGCTGATCCCACTTTCGACAAATAAAGCCAGTGGACCTGACAGAGTTAACAACATTATTTTGAAAAATTGTGCTACGTCATTAAGCCAACCCCTTTCCGCATTGTTTAATTTCCTACACAATACAACTGTATTTCCGAACATATGGAAACAGGCTATCGTAGTTCCAGTCTTTAAACAAGGTGATATTCACGATCCCGCGAATTATAGACCTATATCATTATTAAGTCTACTTGGAAAAATCTCTGAAAGACTAATTTACAAAGATATACACAATTTTCTATTAACCAATCATTTATTAAGCCCTCGCCAATCGGGATTCAGAATAAATGACTGTACTATTTATCAATTAATTGACATATATGATTATATTTCGTCAGCTCTCGATAACGGTAAGAAGTAAAAGTTATATTTTGTGATATTAGTAAAGCGTTCGACCGTGTGTGGCATAAGGGTCTGATTCATAAACTAAGTTGTATCGGTATCCAAGGTAAACTTTTAATGAAATGAAATTATATTAGATTATTTGACGAATAGAAAACAATCAGTAGTTATTAAAGGTGAAAGCTCTAATTTAAATAATATAACTGCAGGTGTTCCCCAAGGATCAGTTTTGGGCCCACTTCTTTTCCTTATTTTTATCAATGACATTACTGACAATATCACTTCTAATATACGTCGTTGTATCTAACTATTGAAAACCCAGGCGAATGTGAAAATGTAATAAATTTAGATCTGAATTTGATTAACAGCTGGTCGACCAAATGGAAAGTAAGATTTAACCCTCTAAAAACAGTTTCCATGACATTCTCTACAAAACAATCCCAAACCTCTTTTGAATTAAACTTTAACAATGTAAGAATTAAGGAATCGATATACCACAAACACCTTGGCCTTATTTTGCAAACTAATTGTCAGTGGGATAACTATATTGAATATGTAATATTTAAAGTTAAACGCTCTATTGACTGTCTCCGTGGCTTAAAATATCGTATTTCTCGTAAGTCTTTAGAGAGTATTTACAATGCATTTATTTTGCCCTTATTCGATTACGCTGACGTTTCATAAGAAACTCCTATATAAACTTGAAAGCTATGGTGTCAACACTGGGGGCTGTTTCACGAAATTTTAACTAAGATAAAATCCAAATTTTAGTAATTTGATTGGATAATATTAGATTGATTTTAGTGCTTAGTCAGTCAAAATTGAAGTATCTTCTAAAATTTGGATTTTATCTTTAGTTAAAATTTCGTGAAACAGGCCCCAGAACTCTTAACATGGATTAATTCCTTCTTAACTAATAGAACTCAGTGTATAGTGGTAGAGGGCAAAACATAGTCATCTGTGCGAGTCGAATCAGGAGTGCCCCAAGGGACCTGTTTAGGACCAACTCTCTTCCTCATTCATATCAATGATCTTCCCCTAAAAGTCAAATCAACAGTTAGGCTATTTGCAGATGACTGCCTACTCTACAGAGCCATAAATTCTCTTGAAGACCATTATCAACTACAATCCGACCTACAATCCCTGCTGGAAATATGGGCCAAAGAATTGGGAATATCATTCAATGCTAAAAAATGTTATATTCTGAGAGTATCAAGATCCAA